AGGCTCCCCTTCAGGGAGGACCGGTCTTCTTGGCATCCAGGGGCTCTTGGGATCCCAAGGGATGCCTTTTCCGAGAACTCATGAGGAGGAAGACCTCTGGTCAGGAATCAAGCCAGCCTGGTGCAGACTCCAGTTAAAACGCACAGCAAACCACCTCTTCTAGGCCAAATAGCAGAGAGAGGAGGGGGGCTTTCGGTTTGACCGAGAGGGAGGACTGAACATCATGCCAGCCAAGGGTGGAAGAGAGCAAGCTGGTCACCCTTGGCTCTGGGTGTCCCCCCGCCTTGCTTTTTGGGTGCTCACCATTGCACTTCTGATTTCTAAGCTCAAAAATAAACCGCTTTTTGGCTCCAAGAAACTCTCCGGTCTTGCCTCGGCTCCGTTTTCCTGACAGCTGTCTGCTTTTCGGAAGGGTTCCCAGCAAGACACCCTCCTTCTTCTGGGTGTCCCCCCGCCTTGCTTTTTGGGCGCTCACAATCGCACTTCTGATTTCTGAGCTCAAAATAAACCACTTTTTGGCTTCAAGAAACTCTCCGGTCTTGCCTCGGCTCTGTTTTCCTGACAGCTGCCTGCTTTTCGGAAGGGTTCCCAGCAAGACGCCCTCCTTCTCCTGTGTGATAGGGATCCCTTTCTTTTTCCTTTGCCTCTGGAAGGTCTTGCGACCGCGGTGGCAGGGAGTTCCTCTGCCACCACTCACAAGCGGAGGAGCATCTTGCACCCTCGCTCTTCTGCAGGGCCGAGCACTCGGCTCCTGCTTTCCGCTACAAGGTGTGCTGGAAGCCCCTCCTCATCTTCAGGCCCGTTTCTGGCTACCGGCCCCTTCCGGCTTGCTTCGGTATACATACTTGGTCCTCCCTAAAGGCTAACTTGAGAGGCAGCGTCGCGCAGCGGGTAGCCTGCCAGCCTAAGACAATAGAAAGAGGTTGGGTTCAAATTCCAGTTCAGCCATAGAAACTGCACAGACAGCGGCCTTTGGAAGCGGTGGCGTGAACCAAGCAAGAGAAGGGCCTAAAACTTTTTGTTTCTTTTTATTTACTATTGCTTGTGACAAAATAACATTTTATACAAATAAGTCAGCTAATTTACTGTAGATCTAAAGGAAACACAAGGTCATGACACGGCGTGACGGGGAAAAGGTTCAGTCAGGTGGGGAGCGCTGGGGACCCGCACAGACCTCTCTGATGCGTCTTTCTCATTCTGTAGGGACAAGAGACCTTAACAGAAAAAAATATAAAACTGCGAGAGCTTTTCTAGAAGTTACAAAGTTTAAAAAAGAACAACTGGCCGTTTCAAGGATCCCAGGAAAGCCCGTTTGAGAAGGAAACGAGGAAGAAACAGGTTTGGAACCATGAGTCCAGGACCATCATCCTACCGTTCCCTCACAGTGCTCAGCGAGTTCCCCCCTTTCCGCTGATCCATCCAGCTGAGACTGTGACCCTTATCTGTTACTGTCCTTATTGGGTAGGCTCCCTAAAAACCAGCCCCATTGACAAACTCCACTTGACAGGGTTGCAAAACCCACCCAAGGAAAGAAAAAGCTACCATGTCGGTGGTCATGTGGGGGGGGGAAACAAACAAACAAACAGAACTAAAGTTCTCCGTTGCCTGGATTAGGCCCATTTGAAGACTGCCACCAGCGGTATAGGGTGGCAGCCACCCGCAAAAATAAACCTGGAGATTTAATAAAAACACTGCAGGGGGGCTGCGCTCAATCTTAAGGCAATGACTTGTCCCAAACAGAAGCCTGTTCCTTTCCCTGCAGAAATATCTTGTTTTCGAACGTTTTGTGTGTCGCTCCTTCATCTACAGCAGGGAAGTAAAACGAGGCTCTCAGCTTGGGGACAGATAGCAGGAAAACCCCTCTTGTGGGCTGTTCCCCCCCACCCCATCTCTAGCAGGGACAAGATGGGAGGCGCATACAAGGAAGACAAGGGCTCTAAAAAAACAGGCCAAGAAACGGACATTTTGGCCCTGATCCACCGCGTGGGCCTAAGGTCCCCTGCCACCCAAGCCATGGCTAAGCTTCCGGGAAGGAAGGAGGGATTAAAATCCCCCAAGAGAGGCAACCCCCTGAAAAACTGGCCCATTTCTACGCGTTCTAGGCTGAAGAGCTGTTTTCTTTGGATGGAGACTTCTCTCGAATGTGCTTCCCGGGGGGGGG